TAAACAGGAGACTGGAGGAATTCCGAGCTCTTGCCTCTTGCCTGAGCAAACTGTGAGAAAAAAAGATACAGCAAAACAAGCAAAATTGAGACCAGAGGAACAGGAATCGCAAGGAAGGAGTGGGTGAGGAAGTTTCGTAAATCAAGCGAACACATTCTCGGTGAGACTAATCTGCTCGAAGAAACAACTACATCTTTGGAGGCCTGGCGGTCACAGGACTAGGGAGACGGATAATCACAACCGTCACGGAAATACGGCATAGTCAAATTGATTAGAAATTGACTCAAGAGGTAGCAGACGACCAGAGATAGACATACACAGTTTGTTCAGGGTACACAGGTTTAATCAAGGAGATGATCTGTCTAATAGCTGCAAGCATGCGAGTCAGAGTCTAGGCACTATGCGGGTGGGGCGATACTTTAGCGCTACCGATGGATTGAAAAATAGCTTCGTCAACCTGAAATATGATAAACGGATCTACAGACCCATCAGGGAGATCCAGATAGTAGGCAAACATTGCTAAGAGATGGTCTTGTTCAATTCTACTCTTATGGGCTAAACTTTTTTACATAACAAAGCAAGCCTCTGAAACTCCACATACTTAGGCCTGTAGACATAACGACGAGAGACCTTAGATACCTCTCCATGCTCGCAAGAAACCAACGGCAAGTCAGGATTCCAAGATTTTTATGCAGCTCAGCAAGGAGCAAGAAAAAGACAGAGTTGTTTGTTAATATCAACTAGCCGAGGCATACAAATTCTGGCTCTGGCTTAGAGTTTTTTTAACTTAGTCATGTGCCGGGTTGAGAAGGAAGGAGGCTAGACTTTGGTAATCTGGAATCACACTTCTCTGAAGAAGTTTGATGTTGCCATGACGTTTAGGTTAAAGTGGTCCACTGGGCATCGTCCTTCGGTTCAGATGAATTCTGACTGAGCCTTTGTCTGTCATGCCAATTGATGGACATTGTCAGGTCTAGATCACATCTTTACAAAAGTTTCAGGTTTACTTTAAGTCACGAATACTAACAGAACTTTCTTTATATGCCATGTCTACACAATGGAGCGTTAAAGTGCTTTGAATAAAAAGATGTTTTCAAAGATTTGTTAGTTTCATTGTACGGCGATGAATTTATTTGATGCTTACTAAATTCAGAGGACATAGTCATCCAGTTTTGGTGGACCTCAAGTTAAAATTGAATGCTTTATGTGCGTAGGAAATTGGTCGTTTACCTGTCAAATCAGCTGAACTAAGCACAAAGAAAATACTTTTGTCTACTCCACAACGGTTCCTTCTTAGAAAGTTGAATCGAGAAAGGTTTACTTTGCTCCGACGGTTATATCTTCTATGAGATGTAATGATAATCACGACAGTGTGGGGGAGTGGGAACGTTGCCGTTTGACGGCCAGGACTCTGGGTCGAGTTCCGCTGGCAGTCCTGATGAGACCCGGATGAGCTGGAGCCTGAAGTAAAGTCGAGATGAAAAAGCATTTCATTAGACAAGACTAAGTAATTTCCGTGTCATTATGAGATCTTTTATTTATTTTATTATGGCAAATTCATTTATCACCTCAAGTGACTCCACCTGACTCATGTTCGAAGTCGGCTTATCTGAGAAATTCGGGCATCCTTTGCTCTCTTGTTTACTGAGCTTCCCTTTTTCGCCTCTTGTTAATGCATTGTCTCTTCGGACAAGGCGGCTGCCAAAGCTGAATATCTTCGGCAAAAAGTGGAGCGTCGCTGGGCGACAAAGCGGCGAGCAATACTTCAGGAAACCCTCGAGCATCTGGGACTTGCCATGCAACTGGACAAACATCTGCCTGCACCCAACAGTGAAGTAACCACGACAAGTTTTACTCGTCTCTTAGCCGGCTCCCGGGATGGTGCACCGCCCGGTTTGATGTGAAGACGTCATAGCAACCCTCCAATTTGGCGCATACATGGGCCGTAATTCAGCCTGGCATTCAGTATCACACAAAAAGGACAATTCACTCTTCCACTAACTGTTTAGCTATTTGTGTGAGATTTTATGGGCAATTTTGCAACTGACAACTAGAATCCCAAATTAGTCGCCTTTGAGTCTTCTGTTCCGAGTAGGCTGGTCAAGCGTAACACTTTAAATAGATTACAAAATTGCTGCTTTTCTTTTAAATAATTCCCTATTACAAATATATTTATTATGGACTCTATATCTGCGTGTGTAAAACTTGAGCGGTTTGATGTAAAAAATGTCATTCGGTTTTGTCTCAGTCGAAATTGGTTAGTGGCCTCTCGTCGACGGCCCTACTACCTACGAAGTACAGTGAATAGAAAGCTGCCACCCCACACCATATATATATATATATATATATATA